CACTTCTTTCTTTATATATTTTTAAGAGTGGTAGAATCATTTCTATTATTTCTATTATTTGTGTTCTGTTTTCCAAGAAAAAAATTAAGCACACTTTTAAAAGTGAAAAAAATATAAAATAGGGACAAGCAGGTTCTTCTAAGCATAACACCAACATAAAACCATAGAAGAAATAATTCTAAAATTTGAAACTACCATTTAACAAATGACAAAATTAGAAAGGTATTTGCAACATAGAAGACTGCAGTAGATACTGTGAGGTAGCTCACTCAACTTTTATTCCTCCATGCTTCTGCCTATACAGGGTGGGAACCTTAAAGCTACAATTCTCAGAGTCTCTGCAGCCAAGATTGTGGATGTGAATTAGATTCTGTGGATCAGATGCACTCTCACAATATTTAGAAGACACACTGTAAGCAGAGACCATCTTTCTGCTTCTGTTGCTATTAGCAACCAGGACTATGGAGAACTGTGTTCAGAGGCAGCTGTAACTAGATTCAGCATTCCAATGGCCAAGCATTGGAACCAATGCTTTATGGATGTTGAGAGGCTGCTGTGAGCTCAGGAGGGATACCCCACAGAAAAGTGAAGCCACGGAAAAGAGCAAAAATGAAAGGAATATCATAAAGGAGCATAGACACTATTGAAAACACGAAGAATGACACAGTGAACAGAAATAAAATAAAAAGGCAATGAAATAAGGATTAGAGGAAGGGCCTCCCTGGTGGTGCAGGCAGTTGAGCACTACACTGTGAAGCTGTCCGCTGCCTCTGCAGCGCGGGTTCGATCCCAGCCAGCAGGCGAGAATTCCACATGGTGCGGCAGACCTTTCCTGTCTGTCCGCTGCTCCCCTCAGCAGTGTATTTCGTCAGTCTGCCTGCTCTGTTCCCTGCTCTGTCTCTGGTGAATCCTCTCACCCTCCCTCACATCTGGCCTGTACCCCAGTTCTCATATAAATAAATCAATCTTTTATAAATATAATAAGGGGGCCTCCCCGGTGGCGCAGTGGTTGAGCGCTGGGTTGCGAAGCTGCCCGCAGCCTCTGCCCCGCAGCCTCTGCAGCGCCGGTTCGATCCCCGGCCACCGGCGAGGGTCCCACATGGCGTGCAGACCTCTCCTGCCGCCCACTGCTCCCCTCAGCAGTGTACTTCGGTCCTTCTGCCTACTCTGCTCCCGGCTCTGGTGAATTCTCTCACCCTCCCGCGCTTCTGACTGTACCCAGTGCTTATATAAATAATCTTTAAAAAAAAAAAAAAAGAAGAAGCTACGCTATTTAAAAAAATTAATAATAAGGGTTAGAGGAAAAGTGACAGTAATTGAAGAGAAGCATATACATAATTGTCATTCTTAAAGAGGAAAACTGGGAACAGTAAATAAAGACAAAATTCAAAAGTTACTAGCAATAAAAGAAGACTTGAATCTCTGGGACAAAAGGGCACACATACTACCTTCCACAAAACACGAACTAGAAGAGTCATCACCAAAACAGCTCTGCCGAAGCTTAAACCTCCAATACACTGCAGATCTTGGATCCCATTCATGGCAGACAATGATGATTTCCTTTTCAGGACTGGGAATTCAACTTCCAGTCACCAAGCCTAACAAATGGCTCCAGCTTCCTTCCATGTTCCATCTTACAGTGGATAGGATGGTCCCCTCTCTACAGTTTGGTCTCAGTTTCTGTCTCCTCAGAGACAAGCTTTACTGAGCACTTGAGTCCTTATTACCATTTGCTCTTGCTCAATCCACTCTTTCTCATCAGCTTTTTATAAATTTCATCACACCATTTCAAGTTTATACTAACTATAAATGCTTATGTGTTCCCTTCCTTCACTGGCACCCGAAGGACAAAGACTCTGTTTTGTTGGTGGCTTGGGTTCTCATGACCCAGTAGAATAGCAAGTACCCAACAAAAACTTTTTCAATATTAAATCACCGCTTCAGTGAGCACCTCCACCATGCTAAATATCAGAAGGCACCCTCAGTGCACTTCAACCTAGAAGTCATGAATGCAAGGCAGCACCTCCCTATCAACAGGATTCACTCAGGTCATTCTGCATGCACACTCTTTTTCCTTTGGGCCTTCCTGTTTCCCTCATTTTTGACTAATTTCTTAGTATTCAATTCCAAGGCCTTCATTTTCCCAAGTACTTAGACTCACCTTCACTATTTGTTTTTCTCTGGACTATAGACATTTCTGTGTCCATGCTCTTGGCTTATTCTTAGCACCCAGGTCGGTGCCTGCCCACCCTAGAGCCCCTCTGTGGTTCCTCAGCTCAGCAGACATCAATCCGCTTATTTCTGTGCCTCCTAATCTGCTTATTACTGTGCCTCCTCTGCCATGGTGCACGGACAGACCCACAGAGCACTGTCACTCCCAACCTGGGAATTAAATAGTGGTATGGACATTATAAAATAACAGAAGCAATCTGCAGGAGACAGGGAGCTGTGGTTTCTGCCAAATAGGTAATTTAACCAGGGCTGCTGCCACCCTTCCTAAAAATCAATCCTTGAAAAATGATGGTGGGATAAGACCCCTCACCACCAGGCAATAATACCACTGAATAGGGCATCTCAGCACTATGAAGCTATCGCCAGCCCTGGCCAGGGAGCTAACCCAGATGGCACAGGAGACCTCTCCTGCCTCGCCTCCTTCTCCCCTCAGCAGTGTATTTCAGTAGGTCCACCTGTTCTGCTCCGCACTCTGACTCTGATGAATCCTCTCACCCCCCGCACTTCTGGACTATACCCCAGTTCTTCTATGTAAAAATAAATATTTTTTAAAAACCCACAAAACCATTGAATGGATACATACATATACTTGGGGAAACTGCCGTGTTTTGAACTGGTGATGGGGAGGCAGGAGGAGTGGCCATACACTGGGGTGAAGGCAGCTGGGATGGCTGAGAAGTTAAGAGAAAAAATGCTGGAAAAACCTCCCTCTGTGAAGATCTACACAGTGCATGCTGCTGGTAAGGGGTTCTTAGGCAAAACCCCAGCATGGAAAAGCCATTGACTCACCTGCCAGTGAGGACCAACTTGCCTCAGACCTTTCACTTCTTCATTCCATGAGATGATACTTATCCCTAAGAACTTACTGGTGCCCTCATTACTCCTCTGTCAAACCTATGATAAGAAATGCAGATTTTACACATTTTATTTACTTAGTAACAAGCACAAAGCTTGACAATTAACCAAATAATTTTATAACAGTGACATACGGTTTTAATTTCTACTAAGATTCAAGGTTCTGGACTGGTCTGACAAGTTATGCTGAGGCATGTGACATTTGCTTTATTCTTTGTGGTAACCTCACCTATATTACATTTTCATATCCCCAGCCAAACACATCAAAATTTCACTGCATACACATTCATGTACACTCATGTATGTAAACACATGAGAAATCTCTTCCAAAAAACCTGTAGCTCTTTTGAAATGTCATTAGGAGCTCTAATTGGGGGGTGGGGAAGCCAGAAGTACTCAGATTTCATGATTTAAATATATTCAAGTGAGAAAATGTCATAAAGTTGTTAAGTCACTAATGCTTCTGTTGAAATAGAAAAATTTAACTGTTATGCATTGAATTTTTAAGTAGCATTGAGTCTAAGATACTAGTTTCTATAGATGGGAAAAATGTTGTATATATATATAAAATGGGAAAGGTACTGGTTGGGCATTTCCCAAAAAATCAGATAACATATTTGGACTAGTTCTAAACATGTCCAATTTATCTTATACATTAAAGAATGAACTTCTAGCAGAATGCCAACAAAGCTGATTTAAATAAGCCTTCTCCCCTTGGTAGTGTATTTCAGTAGATCTGCCTGTTCTGCTCCCCACTGTCTCTGGTGAATCCTCTCACCCCACCCCTGCACCTCTGGCCTACACCCCAGATCCTGTATGCATAAATAAATCTTAAAAAAAAAAAAATAAGCCTTCTCATTTCAGCAAATCTACTGGAGAGGTTGTAAACAAAAGACTAGTTTATACAATAATATCTTCTAAGATATCCTATGAATATACCAAAAGGCAGAGTAAACAAGGTAATGAGATGTAAACTGCTTTATCTTCAGTAGTCTGTGCAACAACAATTTGAAGTAATTTATTATAGTTTTAGCTACAATATGCAATATTTAAAACTTAAAAAAATAAATGTTATTAAAATTTCCCACAAATAGCTTAGCAACTAGGTCTCACAGACTGGGTTCAATCAGTTTCACAAAGTGCTTGGCTCCACACTGTAGGGCACAGTGACTCTAAGCGCTCGGGGTAAAGGCACACCTAGGTACACGCTCTTGCACTACCTTGAGGTTATGAAGAGTCACACTCCATGACTCCAGCCACAATCCAGCTGACAATCCTGAAGATCAGGTACCTATATGCTCCAGAGAGGTCATACAATGAGACTCCAGGCCCACAGCAGACAAAAAGGACAGGAAAAATCTTCAGCCAGAGACTGGTCACTGTAAATTTTAGTCTGCTCTTTCTTGCTTAACTATTTAAGGAGGGCTACTCCCTGCAGCTTTACATAAGACCAATTCCACTTCTCTAAATAGAACAATCTTACTTCAGTTAAAATAAAAAAACTGAAGTATGTTTTGTAATAAGCACCTCATCTTCCCAAAATAAGAGTGCATGGCTGTGTCTGTGATCCTCATCCAGGTTTTAGAAAAATTGACAGCGTTAATAAAGACAAGATGCAGGGGCCTTCCTGGTGGTGCAAGGGGTTAAGATGGAACCGATGAAGCTATCTGCAGCCACTGCAGCATGAGTTCGATCCCAGGCCAGGGAGCTACCCACATGGCGCAGCAGACCTCTCCTGACTCACCCGCTGCTCCCCTCAGCAGTGTATTTCAGTCAGTCCACCTGTTCTGCTCCCCATCTGTCTCTGGTGAATTCTCTCACCATCCCCTGCCATACCTCTGGCCTGTACACCAGTTCTTATATGCATAAATAAATAAATCTTTAAAAAAAAAAGACAAAATGCAGATTAGTTTCCATATTTATTAAAGTTTTTCTAGGGAATATATTACACTTAAAGTTCAATACCATAAATAAAGATTAGTTCTAAATTTTTTTATTTTATTTGTCAAAAATGTAAACATAAAAGAAAATAATTTACCACTCTCTCCTCAACCCTGACTAAATGTATTAAAGGAAAAACAAGATCGTCCTTTCAGGTAAATTCTTTCTTCGGAACAAGTAGCGCAGATTTTATTACAATGTTACTCTCCTGGGGCGCAGGATATTGGCATGAATGGTGCCCACTATGAAATGCGTCTGCAGAGTTGTGATGAAGTCCACCAAGTCCACCTCTTCTACCAGGACTACCTAACTGCCCTCAAAGGTGGGCTGTTCTCTTTTTAATTAATCTCCAAAGGCCTGGACAGGGCCAAGGCAACGAGCACAAGACACTGTGATGAATAAGATGTGCAGGATGGCGTACTCCTGGAGGGCTACAGAGCCAGCCGTGACCTAGCAATTCAGGACAAGTATTACTCTTGGAATATTAGAGCTAGAAAGACTCTGAGAAAGCATCTAGTGAACACTCAATTGGTGAGTCTTCTAATATTGAAGAGAATATTGATAAAATTGCATGGAATATTCAGATATACTTATTTATGTACCTTCCTAAAACTATTAGATTTCATTAATTTATCAAATATTGATAAACTCTAAGCCAATACATTAGGCTGAAACTAATTTTAAGCATAATTTATATTTTTAGAACGTGTATTTAGCCTTAACAAAAATAATTATTCTTCAGAAATAAGTTAAGGGAAAAGGATGTGTTTCAGGCAAATATTAGAGGGGTCTCCATTAATACGACCTAACTGCTTATGAGTTTCATGAAAGCCTTAGTTCAAATCTAATGACATGGCTTTTGCCTCTTTCCTATAAATTCTCTTAAAACCCAAGAGACAAAGTCACTTGATAATTTTGACAACTGGAACCATAATACTATCAAAATGAACCTACATCTGTTCTAAAAACTGAAGTAGTCAGTTTTGAGTCAGAAAGGGACACCAGCCTACTAACCTCAAATCAAGCACTGCCCATTCTGTATCCCTGTCCCACACCTCACTTCACTACTGCAGTCTGCAGTCTCTTTCTCGGTGAACTGGTTTTGCTAAGATGAAGGGCATAATCTGCCACAGGATATATTTAGGCCATTTCAAATTCCACTAATTCTGCATTGAAATCTCCAATTTAAAAAATATTTGTTTTTAAAAATATCGTTATATTCTAAGTGATAAATAGTGCCTACTAAAATTTCATACAGGTTCAGTGGTCTTCTAAGTGTTGACCAAGTATTCTATGTAGTACCAGTGATAAGCAAACATTTTCAAGACTTGTTGAAGAAGGAAGACACCAGTGCAGTTAGCTACCCTCAGAAACTCAATATTTTATAACATACTTTATCAAGTTTCATTATTTGTGAAAACACTGGGTCGCAAGATTCCAAGCTTAACAAGTATAGAAAAAAAGGTCATCTATAATATTTTTTCCAGAAAGTCATTAGTGCAAATATAATTATATCAATAAAAAATAAAGCAAAAATATATTTCAAGTATAAAAGCACCATGCTTGGAAATAATACTACCTAAATGGCATTACTGCACAACAGTCAAAATATATCCAACTTATCACTGTAAATCTCAAATATATCAATCAATAGTATTTTTGGTTAAATTCTTTATACTTTGCAGGGTGGTTCATAATCACAATAGGAATGTAAGTTTAGACTTTTATAATTTTCTTTTTAAAAATATACTCTACTTTTTTTTCTCTGATCTGGCACAATTTAAACATAACATATGCTGAAAATAGAGAATTGGCTTGACACCATTACTATTAGCTTCTCTGTAGCAGAAGTTGATTACATTAGAGACTCCCAGCTTTTCACAATGACAAATACCTCTAACTTAAAGCTGCATGCAAATATGTATTTTAAAGTTATGCATTAAAAAAAAAAAAAAAGGTGACTTTCCTTTATCCTGGGCTTGATGAATGGCTCTAATGCCAAGAAGTCAGAATTTCTCCTTAATAATTATGCTGCTTGTTCGCTTAGCACAATTCCTTAGGTACAGTGTTTGATAACTATAGGCTCAATTAAGGGCCAACCAATAGATGAATGAATGAATGAATGAATGAATGAATCAACAAATACTGTCCAAAGGCTTTGCTTATAAAGCCACTGCACTTCATTAGCTTTAGAGAGAAAAAAATTGACATCATTCATCATTGAAAAATTTCAAACTGGAATTACTAGGTAGAGTTGGTAAGTTCTGGTGCCAGAGCAGAATGGCTTTTGGGGACCACAATTTCTGTGGTAACAGGAGTATGAAACGCAAGAGGTAAAGGACATTGCCTCCCTTTAAAGCAAAGACAATCTCAGACTTCTGGGGACTGAGCCATACATTGTGTGGTAAAGTAGACCCTACTGGATAGGCCCGACACCAAACCTACACTTTGCTATTCGTAAATCAATCAGACCATCTTGTTTTGACTTATATTTTTCTTCTTAAACATAATTTTCAGATATAGAGATTTTTCTGTAATAATTTCTATGCCTACTTGAAAATAACTGCTTACCTGTCTATACTAGAATTTCTTTTTATCTTCATTGGTCAAAAAGGAATAGTTCTATTTTTGTTGGGATATAGTTGTCATAACTATTATTTGAAAAACATAATTATGTTTTCTTCTCTTTGCAGGTCGGTCTTCAATGTTTTTACAGGGCAGAGTGTTTTACTTTCTCTGCTTACACAAATCTAAAAGTCAATACAATTGGAAGTGGAGCTCTGAAGATCAGTGTGCACAGACACAGATGGAAGAGGGCTACATACAACGGCTCTTCAGTAGTAAACTGCCATACAGCTGTTTTGAAAAAGGCAGGCATGATTAAATAAGATTTAACAAAATCTAATGAAAAGAAACTCTTTAGAGCAATGATTTAAGTGTACCATAAACAATCATTACATTCAAAATAGGTATAACAGTGATTTAGAAATCCCAATTCAATTGTTTTTTCTAAGTTAAAGGGAAATTTATACTTCTGAGGACAGGGCCCATAATTTATAACCTTGTAATAATTATTTGTTCTTTAAATTGTTAACGTATTGATGAACTTTTCCATCACTTTAGGTTCATGAAAATGCTGAGGTATGTTATCACTCTGAAAATTTCACCAATTATCCCATTTTCAAAGGAAAACATTAAGAAGGTTATGTATCCTGAAAGATAAAGAGACTTGGTGACTTGGAATTTGTTCTTCTCCAAGCCCAGAGGCTGTTGTGTTGCTGATGAGGCGTGACTGTTATGAAGCTCAGCTTCAAGGTCTGATTGTAGTCAATACTTCCAAGTCAGTCAGGGATGCCACTCTGCCATCTGCATAGGCTGGCACTCACCCAGATTCTGTGCTTTATTCAGAGGAACATGATATAAAGGAATATCTTGAGAATTCACTTTTCAAGTCCTAGTGCCACACGCACAGAAGAAATCCAGCCAGCAGAGGAAATAGATTGCCTAACAGAAGCCAGAGGGTAACCACCAAGCTGGAGGAACGGGAACAGAGATCTAGGGTTGAAAACAAAAAATTGAAGAAAACTGACTTTCTACAGATATTTTTGGAATAAATCATACAAACTAAATATTGACAGATCAGTAAGGTGGTTTTATTGAAAGACCACTTGTTTATTGAACCACTTGTTTATTGGTTTATTGAACCACTTGTTTATTGAACCACTTGGTTTATTAGTGGTTTATTGAACCACTTGTTTATTGAACAAAGACCACTTGGGAGAGCAGAACCAGGAGTGACTTCTTGAAACCTAGATATACAAAGTTTTTTTTTTTCCCCCATGGAGAAAGAACAAAATATTAATGGAGGAAGAAAAGAAGACGCATCCATCTTACCAAGGTTAAAAAACAGCACCCAAGGAATGAAAAGAAATGTCTTAAGGTAGTATCCCAGGAAAGCTAAACTGGCTACCCAGGAAAGTAAATAAATGTCTTGGTTATTCTAAGATAGGATATGGGACTCTCTTTTATTCTTTCTTGTCTCTTATAAGCAGGGTGACCATATAATTTATCACCATTTTGGGAATACAAGTAATGAAATAAATTTCTAGGCCCAAGATGAAGTCACTCCTACCTGGGATGCCACATCAACAAACCAAACTTCCGAGTCTATAAATGTTCGACTTGACCAGAAACACAGTATATTCAGTCAGTCTCCAACTGCCAAGCCAGCTCTGGGTTCTACAGTTATTTCCTTGTTTCTTGATCTTTCTAAATAAGGTGAGCTGTGCAACCTCTGCAAATCAACATAAGCAGAGTATTTCTTCCCTGTATTCTGCATCCCTTTCTCTTAAAACTTACAGCCCCTTTTCCCTTTTTCGCAGTGCATTGTATTAAGAGTGGACACTGCCTGCTTTATGAAGTGTGAAATATAATCTTAGATCAACTAAATTGTTCCCTTTGATTATTTTAATATAAGGGAATATGATTAATAACTATATCAGGATATCAGGCATAGGAATGGCCCCCAATTACTAAAATCTACCCATCTATCCATATCACCCCAAGCCTGATTTGGAAATAGCTGAAGACTATGGGCTTTGGACACAGAAGTAAATTTCACTTTAGTCATGAGTTGTTCTCACAGCTAAACCTATTTCCCCAAACAATTCTCAGAATAGAAAACATTTTACAGCAGTCAAGAGACCAAGTCAAACTTACATTAAGATAAACTGTCCTTTTTTATATTTTGACCAAAAAAAATAACAAAAACCAACAAGCCTCCAAGACTGACTTGCTTCAAAGGTAAGAAAATCATGGCTGGTCTTCAAAGGTAAGAAAATCATGGCTGGTCTTCAGCTACACAATGAGCAGATGATAATGCCAAGACACGTGCTGTTCTTCTGAGCATTTTATGTATGGATTTAGTATTTTATTTTTTGATTTCACTTATTTTTCAATCACTCATGTAATATTTAAATGCAATTATCATACAAGTAAGTGATAAATACTTCCTAGGTGGCAAGGAATAAAGTTAGGTGTATACCTACAATATAAAAGCATCGACCAGAGCGAAAAATTGGTCCATGTGCCAAGTACATAGAAGGCCCACATTAATAGACCTACACTTCTAATGTATTTTTAATGAAAAAAAAAATAATTGATTTAAATAAAAGGAATACACATATATATGGTTGAAATGTTTAACATTAAAACATATACATGGTTCTTGCCCGAGCCCAAGACTTAAGAGGTAATCATTATTAATAGCTTTAATTAATAATAATAATTTTCATACTTACATAATATACTTAAAAATACCATGATTTACACTCTTCATGCTCTTGTTCACTTGGCCTTTGTTTTGTTCAACAATATATATTTGAAATTTTTCCATGTTAGCACAAAAACTATGAAACTTTTTTTTGAACAATATAGTTCTTTGCCACAGGGCTATGGCTTGATTTTGGCAATAAATAAATGAATATATAGTTTTTAAAAATTGTCTTACTATTGCAAACAATGCTGCAATATGCATATAGGCCTATCTTTCTCTTGTTCCAGTTTTTTTAATTGTTATAATGCAATTTTTAAAAGTTTAATTGATTTGCCACTAGTTTATTTATGGAATATTTTAAAAATTATTTATCTGCATGTAATACAGGTAAACCATGGGGAACTTCTATTCTTCCCCAGTGGAATCAGTTGCTATTTGTTAAATCCTAGAAAAATTCTACTTAACCAAGAAGAGTGATTTTCAAAATGTGGTCCTGGGATCAACATCAGCATTGCCAGAAAAACTGTTAAAAATTCTGGGACTCCAACCCAAATATTATGAATTATGAACTCTGGGAGTGGTTTAACATGCAGTGGGTGTTTTACATGATTCCAATTCATGCTAAAGATGTGTGTTGAGAACCTCTGATTGAGAATTGCACTATCTCATACGGCAACCACTGGTTATATGTGCTATTTAAATATAAATTAAGATGAAATAAAATTTAAAATGCAGTACTATTTAGTCACCCTAACCACTTTCACATGTTCAATAATCATATTGTAGTTAATGACTATTGTATTGGATAGTGCAGATTACAGAATAATCCCATCATCCTAGAAAGTTTTATTGGTTAAAATCTGGCCTAGAGGATCATGTAGAGAGTAGCCATGGCCAAAATTAAGTAATAAGCCCCTGGAGTCACTAATGAAACGGGCTTATTCTTTTATCTCCTGATTCTCAGTTTGGCCCATAGGAAAATATTAAAACACTGCAGTTTCTGTGAAAGTACTCTTTACAAAGAAAAGATTTTTTAAGAGTGTTTTGAAATGAACTAGAGATGAGCAGATCTGGGTTCTGATCCGAGCCTTGATTTGACAGTAGATATATTACTTAATTCCTCTATACCTATAACCACATTTTGCATGTGTAAAATGTCTAAGTCCGACTTCACTAGGTTTTGTGATTAAATGCAATGATAAATATTTGAAGTACTTAGAAAAGTGCTTAACATTCAATAAAGGGAAACAATTTCTACAATCTGAAGAGACTAGAAAGAATTCAGAAACAGATTTTTCATATTCATTAATGGAAACTGTCTTAGGTAATATAGGACAATTATCTAATCACACACTACCACTTAGAAGTGATGACTAGGGAAAAGGAAAAAGAAAGAATATGAGGGTTTTCTACCCTGAAGGAAGTTACAAATCTGAGAAAGGCTATATGGACTAGCCACTTGAGAACAACAGAACAAAGAAAAATTTGAGGAGAGGAATATCTTTTTACACTTCCTCCAGAATATAGAACATTCACTGTTTCAAAAGTATACTTAAAAAATCTAAAAAAATACTTTAATTCATGAGGCAGATTAGGGAGATCACTTATTTAATCAGTTCTATCATAGGTTAATTTGAATTATTTGCATTTCTCATACAACTACATTTAAAATATCAAATTTTTTACAAGATTTGTGAGTCATAAAAACAGTATTAAAAAGCAACAAATTATTTACCTAAAAGAAACAACATATATAAAGTCTGCCATAGTCTTTGGCACATGGTTTAATAAATGTTCATAAAAGAGAGTGCACTCTATTCGCACACATTATGGGAAAACAGGATATTTTATCTTTTTAACAGTGATGCTTACAATGTTTAAACTGCCACACCTGAAAGTATCTATTCTTCTAATATTTTATACTTTTTAAAACTGTGGTAATGGTTTGAAGGTTTCAATGGTCTTTGAGCCTGCTTCCACATAGAATTCCTTAAAGGAAAAAAATCACGATAGTAAAATAATCTCAGAAGGGTGACTGATAAAGAGGGAGCAGGTTAGGAAGTAGAGCCTAAGGAACAAGTCAGTGGAGGGGGTGAGGTGGTTGGCAGTGTCTTCTCAACTCCTTTTAACAGATTCACTAGTCTTTGTCATGCTCTAAAGAACAAAAAATTCATATCCCTTCATCTGCTCTGGCTCTTCTCGTTCCTACATAGTCTTCCACTTTACTCCTAAAATTCTCAGCCTTCAAACATCTGAATAACAAAAACTTTCTTTACTGCTAATGGCTCAGCTCAGCTCCTGCTCAACTCTTTCTTAGACAATGATGGTGATTTTTTTTTTATAGTTAACCCTGAGATTATACAAAAGAATGAGAACTCCATCGCAATTATCTCTGTGGTTCTGCTGCTACCTCTTTTTTTTTTTAAAGATTTATTTTTATTTATCCATGCATACAAGAGCTGGTGTGTGTGTGTATGTGTGTGTGTGTGTGTGTGTGAGAGAGAGAGAGAGAGAGAAAGAGAGAGAGAGAGAGAGAGAGAGAGAGAGAGATGGGGGGGAGGATCCACCAGAGACAAAGTGGAGTGCAAAACAGGCAGATCTACTGACATATACTGCTGAGGGGAGCAGTGCGCAAGACGGGAGAGATCCACTATGCCATGTGGGCCAGCTTCCTGGCCACCGATTGAACCCGAGCCCATGCCAGTGGCTGCTGACAGCTTTATCGTTCTGAGACTTAACCCCTTGCGCCACCAGGGAGAACCTGCTGCTGCCTTCTTAATAACAAAATGGAGTCATCCTACCAGCTTCACATTAGAAGTTAAATAAGAGTCTTAACACTGCATTTACCACATCAAAAGGAACATCTTACAGCATTTAAAACAATTCCTTGTGGGCATCCCTTATGGCACAGGTGGTTGATGGTCGCACTGTGAAGCTGCCCGCAGCCTCTGAAGCACAGGTTCGATCCCTGGCTGCCAGCGAGGGTCCCACATGGCGCGGCAGACCTCTCCTGTCTCGCCCGCTGCTACCCTCAGCAGTGTATTTCGTCAGTCTGCCTGTTCTGTTCCCTGCTCTGTCTCTGGTGATTTTTCTCACCCTCCCACGCATCTGGCCTGTACCCTGGTTCTTGTATAAAAATAAACCTTTAAAAAAAAAATTCCTTGTGCCATTACTGCATCACTTTAAAAACTCCTATGATACTGAAGTACACTCTGTAAAAAACAGTTAACAGAGCTAGCTTGACACTGCCACCCTTTGAAAGTCCCGCTGGAAGCATGGTTTTAGCTGGTATCTGGGAACTGGTTTCATCTGGACTTCACCTGCTTATCCTTTTTCCCTTTGGTGATTCGTTTTCTATTCCTTCACTTTAATAAATCTTAGCTGTAAGTACAACTGGAGGCTGAGTCCTGTGAGTGCTGGAGAATCACTAAACCTGGGGTGGTCTTGGGCAGTCCTAACACAATTACTGATCTTCTAAAACTTACCTCTACTTACAGTTCATAGCTAGATAAAACTCCCAGGACATGGGAATAAAGAATAGTAAATCCTGAAAGTGGAGACTTTGAATTGTAAAATGAATGTAGCCCTCCTTTTACAATGAGACCATGAACAAGCAAAGGGCTACACAGGTGCATTTAATAATATCTCCAGAAGAGAAAATGAAATACTGCAAAGAGTTTTATTATCCATAATCTAAAATGTCAAATTGCCATAGGTCAAAGATTCAATTTCAAATCCATGAATTATGCTTTTATAACTCATTGGCCTCAGTTTGTGCATCTTCAACAATGGAGAAGGCATTCTTTTCACGACTGTCCTTCCACCCTTCTTTGGGTTCTAAGGGATTTAACAGGAATTTGTCTCCCTATAATAGGTTTGTCTCAATTCTACAATCTGGAACCTCACAGGAAGAGTATGCTATCCCTCAAAGAAAATCACTGTCTTTGCCAGTTTATCTATCTTATTTTGTGTGTTTTTGTCTCCCTGCACCTTTCTTTGTGGGAATGCCAACCCTTCTTAAGAAACTTTTCACAGGCCTCCTTGGTGGCACAAGGGGTTAAGGCGCAGCACTATGAAGCTGTCCGCAGCCAATGCAGTACAAGTTGGATCCCTGGCCAGGGAGGTGGCACAGCAGACCTCTCCTAACTCATCTGCTGCTCCCCTCAGCAGTGTATTTCAGTAGATCTGCCTGTTCTGCTCCCCACTCTGTCTCTGGTGAATCATCTCACCCCCTGACATCTCTGGCCTGCACCCCAGTTCTTGTATGCATAAATAAATAAATCTTTAAAAAAAATCTTTTCCTGGCCTCCCTCATGGCCTATGGGTTAAGTCTCAGTGCTATCACTACTAAGGCCTGAGTTCCATCCCTGGCCAGGGAGCTAACCCACATATGGCATAGCAAACCTATCCTGTCTCTTCAGTAAATCTGCCTATTCTGCTCCCTACTCTGTCTCTGGTGTATCTTTTCATCCCCTGCACCTCTGGAGAACACCCCAGTTCTACTCGAAAAATTGAAAAAAAAAAATCTTTTCAGGCCTCCCTGGTGGCGCAACGGTTGAGCGCTGGGTTGCAAGGCTGCCCGCGGCCTCTGCAGTGCCGGTTCAATCCCTGGCTGCTCCCCGGCCACCGGAGGAGGGTCCCACATGGCACACAGACCTCTCCTGCCGCCCCGCTGCTCCCCTCAGCAGTGTACTTTGGTCCTTCTGCCTGCTCTGCTCCCTGCTCTGGCTCTGGTGAATTCTCTCACCCTCCCGCGCTTCTGACTGTACCCAGTGCTTGTATAAATAAATAAAAATAAATCTTAAAAAAAAAAACTTTTCCAGTGCCTTTCCTTTTCTTTCTTCCCAACTAGTTATAATGAAACTAAAGTATATTTACTTGCTTTTTGCATTTAATGAGCAAAATTTCCTTTAGTCAATTTCAAAATGAATAAAGGAAACATTTACTTTTCATAACCTTCAATGAATTTTGTTGCTGTTTTTGTTTTTTTCAATGAACTTCTTTGTGTAAGTCAGACATGACTTGCACAGAATGGTTTCTTATCTTGCTCTTACAGAAGTGTTAATTTACCTACTTACAATTTCTAACAATGTAGATTTTCCCATAAAACTGCAATTATAAGAGTAAATGCTCAACCAGTTTTAAAGCTGCCTTGAAGAGATTTTCAGCATTTTATAATTAAAGTCCCCCTCTTTACTTACCCAGAGGTAGAGCTCGGGTCAAGTTAGTGGCTGGAGGATCTCTTTCTGGAGGGCAGAACTCACAGAAGTCCCAACATGATGGGCAGAGTAGGTTTCCATTGTAAATCCAGCCATTCATCTGAACACTGACAGGGAGCACCTGCCCGGCCCTACTACACAAATATGTAGTATCCTGGACCCAAACTTTCAGACCCTGAGGTGAACAAGAAATCTTCAAACAGAAAAAAAAACACCATCAGATCATTAAGATTCTAGTACATGTGCCGTCTCCTTTAATTGTAGGAAAATACATTAGGATTACTAAAAATATTGGCAATAAATCACAATTTGGGATGTGGGCATACATATTTTCACTCTTATCAAAAGTGGATAAGTTTTTCTGGTTCTAAAAGAATTTAGCATCTTCTCCCAAAATATTTATTAATTACAAAGGGAGTTAATTAAAAGAGTAACTTGACAGCAGAAAAACATAGCAGATACCAATAAAATAACATTACCAATAAAGGGATAAATAAAAAATACTACCAGAAAAACAAACATCACTTTCTGAAATTACTGCCCAACATACGCTTCCTGCATTTAATCAAAAAGAAACATCAGACAAACCCAAATTGAGATACAACCTAGAAAGAAATGTCTTATAATCTTTAAAAGTAGCAAGGTTATTATGAAAGTCAAGCAAAGATTGTGAAACTGTTCTGGAACAGATGGAGAACAGAGACATGATAATTACACAACATGTGATATTTGTCCAGATGCTATTAATACAAGACATTATTGGGACAATTGGCAAAACCTGAATGGGGTCTGAAAATCAGAAGAATCGATGCTAATTTCCTGATTTTTTTTTTTAAATTTATTTTATTTATTTATACAAGCACTGGGTATAGTCAAAAGCATGGGAGGGTGAGAGAATTCACCAGAGCCAGAGCAGGGAACAGAACAGGCAGACGGACGAAATACACTACTGAGGGAGCAGCGGGCGCCACAGGAGAGGTCTGTGCGCCATGTGGGACCCTCGCCGGCAGCCGGGGATCGAACTGGTGCTGCAGAGGCTGCGGGCAGCTTCTTAGCCCAGCGCTCAATCGCTGCGCCACCAGGGGAGGCCCTGAATTTTTGTTTTAATAGTGTTGTGGTTATATAGGAGGCTATTTTTGTTTATAAGAAACACGCAAAAAGGTATTTTGGGGGGTGAAAGTATGTCAATAATTTGCATTTAGATGACTCAGAAAAAAATATTTTGTATCATTCTTGCAACTTCTCTGTCAAAAGAATAAAACAAACAATAAAGAAAACAGAACAGCTAGCCATATATTAATAGAAATCATATGTATTTTCCCAAATAACATGTTATTAGTATTAAATTAGAAAAATTAACTGAAAATACTAGACACAGGGAAGCCAAATACAGGCAGTCAGTCTTAGTAGACATTATAAATTTGAACAATCCTTTTGTGGTGGTACAGTGGATAAAACATTAAAATAGCCTAAAAAAAGACATTTTACTATCATTGTCATTGTTCTGGATTTATCCCTTCTAACCTGATATTTTCACTTGGGGAATTTATTTCAAAAGTAAATTAAAAAACAGGTAAAGCAGGGCCTCCCCGGTGGCGCAGCGGTTGAGCGCTGGGTTGGGAAGCTGCCGGCAGTCTCTGCAGCGCCGGTTCAATCCCCGGCTGCTCCCTGGCCTCGGGAGGAGGGTCCCGCATGGCGCGCAGACCTCTCCTGCCGCCCGCTGCTCCCCTCAGCAGTGTGCTTCAGTCCTTCTGCCTGCTCTGCTCCCCGCTCTGGCTCTGGTGAATTCTCTCTCCCTCCCGCGCTTCTAACTGTACCCAGTGCTTGTATGTATCAATCAATCAATCAATAAATAAATCTTTAAAAAAAAAAAAAAAAACAGGTAAAGCATGTAAATATAGTTATAAAAGCATAGTAAAAATAAAAATTAACCCAATATATAAAATGAAGAAAGGGCCTCCCTGGTGGCGCAAGGGGTTGGGATGCAACCTATGGAGCTGTACGCAGCCTCTGCAGCATAAGTTCGATCCCCAGCTGGACAGGGAGTGGCCCACATGGCGCAGCAGACCTCTCCTGGCTCACCCACTGCTCCCTTCAGCAGTGTACTTCAGTCAGTCTTCCTGTTCTGTTCCCCGCTCTTTCTCTGGTGAATCCTTTCGCCCCAGACACCTCTGGCCTGTACCCCGGTTCTTGTATGCATAAATAAATAAATCTTTTAAAAAATAATAAAATGAAGCAATGTTTTATAACCATAAAGAATAGTATTATTGGGCCTCCCTGGTGGTGCTAGGGGTTAAGACGCACCCTATGAAGCTTGCCACAGCCACTGGAGCACAAGTTCGATCCCCAGCCTGGGGGCCACCCAATTGGCACAGGCAGACCTCTCCTGACTTGCCCGCTGCTCCCATTAGCATTGTATTCAGTCAGTCTGCCTGTTCTGTTCCCCACTCTGTCTCTGGTGACTCCTCTCATCTCCCACAACTCTGGCCTGTACCCCATTTCTTATATGTATAAATAAATAAAATCTTAAAAAAAAAAAGAGGGCCTCCCTAGTGGCACAGCAGTTGAGCGCTGGGTTGCGAGGCTGCCCGCAGCCACTGCAGTGCCGGTTTGATCCCTGGCCACCAGGCGAGGGTCCCATATGGTGCGCAGACCTCTTCTGCCACCCGCTGCTCCCCTCAGCAGTGTATTTCGTAGGTCTGGCTGTTCTGTTCCCCGCTCTGGCTCTGGTGAATTCTCTCACCCTCCCGTGCTTCTGACTGTACCCAGTGCTTGTATAAATAAATAAATAAATCTTTAAAAAACAACAACAAAAAAAAACACTGGCCCACAGCCACTATTATTAAAAAAAAAAAAGAATATGGAATATTCGTTAAGTTGGATCCTCCTAAGTTACAGGATAATTGTATCTTAATAAGTTCTTAATAAGTTGAAGGAGTCATTTAATATCAGATGTAGATCCTTCCAACCAAGAGCAATATACAGATTCAATGCTATTCCAATAAAAATCTTAATGACATTCTTCAAAGAAATAGAACAAATACTGATGAAATTCATATGGAACCACAAAAAAACATGAATAGCCAAAGCCTTAGTGATGAAAACAAAGGAGAAAAGAGGTATCACACTTTCAAACTTCAAGCTATACTACAAAGCCATAATAATTAAAACAGTTTAGTATTGGAACAAAAACAGACACACAATGGAACCAAATAGAGAGCCCAGAAATAAAAACACACTTATATGAACAACTGATCTCTGACAAAGGAGCAAAGAATATGCAATGGAATACAGACAGTTTGTTCAATAAATGGTGCTGGGAAAACTGGACCACCACATACAAAAAAATGAAACTAGACCGCTACCTCTCACCATGCACAAAAATCAACTCAAAATGGATAAGAGAACTGGACATAAGACCTGAAACCATAAAATATATAGAAGAAAATAGAGGTAAAACACTATAAGACATATATCACAATAACATCTTTAAAGACTCATCATCTAAAGCAAAGAAAGTCAAGGAATATATAAACACCTGTGATTACATTAAACTGAAAAGCTTCTGCACAGCACAAGAGACATTAACCAAAACAGAGACACTACTGATTGGGAAAAAATCTTTGTACTCCAGTCAACTGATAAGGGAGTGATCACAAAGATATACAAAAAACTCACATGACAAAATAAGCAATCCAGTCAAGAAATGGGCAGAAGAACTTAAAAGACATTTCTCCAAAGAGGAAATGCAAATGGGCAACAGGCATATGAAAAAATGTTCAACATCCTTTATAATCAGGGAAATGCAAAGTAAAACCACATTGAGATACCACCTTACACCAGTAAGGATGGCACATATCAAAAAAACAAGCAACAACAAATGTTGGCAAGATATCAAAAAGTTATCAATGGCACATATCAAAAAAACAAGCAACAACAAATGTGGTGAAAAAGGAACTCCCCTACATTGCTGGTGGGAGTGCAAACTGGTCCAACCACTATGGAAAGCTGTCTGGAGGTCCCTCAGTCTACTAAAAATGGAGCTACCATATGACCTGGCAATTCCACTACTAGAGATCTAAATAAAGGACACAAAAACACTGATTCAAAAGAATACCTGTACATCTATGTTTATTGCAGCACTATTTACAATAAGTAAAACCTGGAAACAACCCACATGCCCAAAAATAGATGACTGGATCAAGAAGATGTGGCATATAATACATAATGGAATATTATTCAGCAGTCAAAAAAGATAAACTCATGCCATTTGCAGCAACATGGTTGGAACTAGAAGGAATTATGCTCAGTGAAATAAGCCAGAAGGAAAAAGAAAATATTGGATGATTTTACTTAGAGCAGGAATATAGGGGAACCAAATAAGACATCAGTGTAAAAAAAAAAATAACAGTACAAAACACAACAAAGCAAAAATGGACAATTATAAATCCAAGACATCCTGCAGGGGAGGAGGAGGGAGAGGGATCAGAGGTAGGGAGGGAGGTGCACAGGGGGGCTGTGGTGATGGTGCATTGGTGAAGGAAACTCTATGGGGACTACACCTGAGGGGGAGGGGGGAGCAAATATTGTTTAAAAATGAACAATGATGTAAAAAAATAAAAAAACTAATATTAGGGCCTCCCCGGTGGTGCAGCGGTTGAGCCCTGGGTTGCGAAGCTGCCTGCAGCCTCTGCAGCGCCTGTTCAATCCCCGGCTGCACCACGGCCGCCGGAGGAGGGTCCCACATGGCATGCAGACCTCTCCTGCCGCCCGCTGCTCCCCTCAGCAGTGTACTTCGGTCCTTCTGCCTGCTCTGCTCCCCGCTCTGGCTCTGGCTCTGGTGAATTCTCTCACCCTCCCGTGCTTCTGACTGTACCTAGTGCTTGTATAAATAAATCTTAAAAAAAAAAAAAAAAAAAAGAAATCATTAAAAAAAAAACTTTAAAAAAAAAAAAACTAATATTAAAAAAAAAGATAATTAGTTTCCAAAGGGGTAGGAGAAAGGATTAAAGCTGCATTAAAAAAATATATACCTCCAAAAAAATAATATCAGATGTAGAAATAAGATAAACAAGAAAATAGGAGTTTGACCCCTTTGGATTTCTAATTTCAAAGGAAAAAAATCTAATATTAGAAGGTAGCTGATTTATTAACTTAAAACATCTAATTTCTTCAGCTCTTATGAAAGAAAATTTTAAAATCTTTTCCACTACAAAGTAATATTTGTTCAAAAATAAAATTACCAAAAAAAAATAATAATAAAATTACATATTATCATTATTTGTTTAGGCTAGAAGTAAAGTCATTATAAAACTTGCTGATAGACAGCAATTATATATAGATTTTAAAGAAATGGAGAAGGCATTTTCTCTCAAAGAAATGATAGTATTTTCACAAAACGCAAGAATCCAATCTAACATGTACATAAACAAGATAAGTTAAAATGTTAATTAGCAAATTACCTATATATAAAGATACAAAGTTTATCTTAAAATATAAAAATCATATAATAACAAAATTATAAATTGCATAATAATTCGCAATCACATAGCTTTACCTGATAACATCCACTTCCCCAGTCTGGGTAACTCAGCTTCCTCTCACACTTTTCCATAACAAATGCTGATTTCTGAATTAGACAAATGGAATGAGGTCCATATTTTTCAGCACCATAGTTTTTATACAGGTCTGCAGCAAACCAGAAAAGTTTTCTTAAAAATTGACTTCTGGACTCAAAGAACAAGAAATTGAAGCAATCTATTCTTATAATTAATAGTTGTTTCAAAAATAAAATTTGTTGGTCTCCCTGGTGGTGCAGGGGTTGAAGATAGCACTATCAAGACATCAGCAGCCACTACAGCACTAGTTTGATCCCAGCTGGCTAGGGAGCAACCCACCTGGTGTAGCAGACCTCTCCTGCCTCACACGCTGCTCCCCTCAGCAGTGTATTTCAGAGGATCTGCCTGTTCTGCTCCCCACTCTCTCTGGTGAATACTCTCAGCCCCCGCATCTCTGGCCTACACCCCAGTTCTTAGATACATAAATAAATAAATCTTTTAAAAAAATTTTGTTTAGGGCCTCCCTGGTGGTGTAGCAGTTGAGTGCTGGGCAGCGAAGCTGCCCACAGCCTCTGCAGCGCCGGTTCAATCCCCAGCTGCCGGCGAGGGTCCCACATGGCACACAGACCTCTCCTGTGCCACCCGCTGCTCCCCTCAGCAGTGTACTTCATCAGTCTGCCTGTTCTGCTCCCGCTCTGGCTCTGGTGAATTCTCTCACCCTCCCGCGCTTCTGACTGTACCCAGTGCTTGTATAAATAAATAAATAAATCTTTAAAAAAAAATTTTGTTTAATGGAAATTTTCAGCTAAAAAAAAACAAGAGAAATAGAAATCCAGAATCAAACTGTATTCTTAATAAAGGTATTAGTGGGAAAAATTATTATAGCAGCAGTAAGAGATAAATCTGGGTTTGTAGTTTTTGAGTTAAGATATATAAAGGAAATGGCACTAAGAATCACCTTCACTGATGGACTAAATAGGCGTCACCAGGGCCTCCCTGGTGGCGCAAGGGGTTAAGATGCAACCTATGAAGCTATTTGCAGCACTGCAGCATGAGTTCGATCTCTGACCAGGGAGCTACCCACATGGCACAGCAGACCTTTCCTGACTTGCCCGCTGCTCCCCTCAGCAGTGTATTTCAGTCAGTCTGCGTGTTGTGTTCCCCACTCTTTCTCTGGTGAATCCTCTCATCCTCCCACGCATCTGGCCTGTACCCGGGTTCTTATATGCATAAATAAATAAATCTTTAAAAAAAAAAAAGGCGAAATCTCGCCATCCATGACAATATGGATGGAACTTGAGGGGAGTAAGCTAACTGATATAAGATAGACACAAAAAAGATACATACTATATAATGTCATGCATATGTGCAATATAATGAAATAAAGCCAATAAAACAAAATGAAAACCCTCAGACTGACAACAGAATAGTTGAAGAGAGAACAGAGAGAAGAAAGTAGGTAGTAAGTGGAAAATGTAGAGGGATTTGATTAGATGGTGGTGGATGGTAACTAGATTTTTGGTGGTAGGTGTGAAGTGGTTGTGGTAGGTGGTAGGTGTGGTTGATGGTGAAGTGATAAACTTATACAGGTTGTAACCCAATATTACCACAACAAAAAAAAAAGATAAAAAATTAAATAAAATAAAAATGAAAGTGTTTTGCAAATAAAGTGTCACACAAATGTAAGCTATTACTAAAGTGGAATGTGTATGCATGTATGTACAAGTATATCTAATAGACAGCAATCCTTTCTATGTGCCATAGTTCGAAGCAATTTTATTCCATTAATTTATTTCTTACAACAGCTCTATGAGATAGGTATTATATTATTCCCTTGTACAGAAGAGGAAATGGCAGCACATATAAGTAACTTCTCACAGATGGATAACAATGGAACCACAATACAAACTCAGTCTGACTTTAGGATCTGTGGCCCTAAACACTCTTTTATATAGCTGATAGTTAATTTTAATACATAAATAACATTTCATTTCACTAGACTACTAACCTGGTTGGTTTTCCAATATTCTACAGTCTGAGCTCCGTTGATATTCACCACTTAACTGCCAACTGAATTCCTGATTGAAAGGGCAATAGTCAGCAATTTCTACTGAGCCACCATAATAAGGCAAATCTTCTGCAGGTATTCCACTGAGTTCATCAAAGTACTAAAAAAAAATTATTGGGAAGACATACGAATAAGAAACGTTCTGCATAATCAAAGCAAAGTCCACAGTTTACAGTAATCCTCTACTGCTGTATAACACAAAGAAGATAATAACCTACTTTTCTTTATATATTATATATCACAAAGATAATAATATAACATTTGAGGGGTATTTTGAGTTTGTGGTTGCTATTAGAAATAAGGTAATCTAGTAAATTAGTCTAAGTTATTTATTAGATGACAAAATTTGACTAATGTTTTAAAACAATGAGTAGAAGGAGCTTTAGGAGTTGAGAAAACACAAAACTGATGCATAAAATTAAGTTATCTGATTCAAGTGGTTTTTTGTTTGTTTGTTTGCTTGTTTTAAGATTTATTTATTTATGCAAGCACTGGGTACAGTCAGAAGCGCGGGAGGGTGAGAGAATTCACCAGAGCCAGAGCAGGGAGCAGAGCAGGCAGAAGGACCGAAATACACTGCTGAGGGGAGCAGCGCGCAGCAGGAGAGGTCTGCACGCCATGTGGGACCCTCCTCCGGTGGCCGGGGAGCAGCTAGGGATCGAACCAGCACTGCAGAGGCTGCGGGCAGCTTTGCAACCCAGCACTCAACCGCTGCGCCACCGGGGAGGCCCTCTGATTCAAGTGTTTTTAGGAGATAATTTATCCATTGCTTTGACAAACCTGAAAAAATAAAACTGAGAAAATGAATGAGAGCATATCTATAAAATACTTGGAATACCAAAAGAACAGATATATTTCAAAGATTTCACATTTTACTCCAATTCACTGATTTCTAATACTGTATGTGGAAATATAGTTGACATCTTTTGGTGTCTGAAGGACTCAGTCTGGTCAGCAACAATTTTAAATTTGCTTCTAAGATATTTCTCTCTAAAGACTTTTTATAATTGGCAGGCAAGCTGAGGCTTTTTAGAGATAATCTTGGCAACAAAACACGTCAGGCAACTCAGAGATTCACACTGAACATATATGACCATTTCCTTTACTTTTCAGGTACCATTAGTGAAACCCGTTCTAAAGCAAAACTTCCAAGTCTTCTAGTTAACTGAATTAGAGCACCTAAATTATTTCTTTAAAGAAGCATCTTTTGTGGGTAAATCAGAAGAAATTAAAGGCAAAGATGTTAGAAATATAACAGGGTGGTCCCCAAGAAACGGGGAGGTTACAGGTTCCCTGCCCCACCCAAGGAAGGGTAAAGCTGAGCAGGGAGGAGAAGCTGGAGGGGAAACTGGGGAAGGAAGGAAGCAGGATGGAGAGTAAGGAGACCTGGAGGAGGCGTGTGGAGCAGAGAGACATGTGAAGAAGCTGCACTTGCTTTTTGGTCCTGGACTGGTTGAAACAGATGTGGGTGAGAGACCCGTGGTGAGGTTAACAATGGCAGCATTAATCTTGATTTTAATTTTGCTCTTTTCTTCCCAGATTTGTCTAGCTGTTTCTGACATTTTTCTATGGGTCCCCCTGAAAGGTACTTTAGACTTGTGGCAGGCTTCTGGGCCTCAGTGGCCCTGCTTTCAGCCAACCCTGTTTGGCTGAACATTTACCCACAAGGGAATGGGTAACTTTGGGTGCTTGATTTGGAAACTCTAATCTTTCCCTTTTTTGTATTGCACACTAATTGTATTAAAGTTCCCTTCCATTAAAGGTCTTATATGTTTTGTCCTGATGCGGCAGATGGCAGAATCTATTTAGAGGGGGCAGGTTTGGGGGTTTTGGGGTGCCCCTCTCCCTACCTTGTAACAGAAACACTTAGAAAGAAAATTCAAATTAAAAATACATAAAAACAAATATCCCAAATACCTTTCACCATTACTACAAGGCATTGCAAGGTATTAACTATCAATTAGTATACTGGTTATATCAAAATGGAGGGGTTCTTCCAGTATTTTCCCCCTAACTTATAAAAAAAAAACAAATGGAGCCTTACAAATTGAAAAAGTCAAAGAGAATTCACTCTCTTGATTCAAAATAGAGAATTAAAAAATTAATTCCTAAAACTATGCCCAAAACAAGGGTTACCTGGTACTCTTCAGGTAAAGGTTTCGGAAACTTCTGCAAATTACACACTGCAACAGCTCTCTGGTCCTGTCTGCAAGTTAACTGCAGTGGATTACTTCTAAGCATGTCACAGAAAGGGCTCAGCATCTGCATCCTGTACAAAAAGGTAAGTACCATGGTATTAAACCCTAAAGAAAACATTGTAAGTCTCTTCCAGAACTTTGTCATTTTCATCATAATTTCAATATATTTTAACAACTTAAAACTAATTACTGAATCAGGTTATATACTTATTTTTCAAAGTGTAAAAGGAAATGTAGATGTGAAAGATTAATGCTAAATTCATTATAACACAATGTCAATTATTAATAAAATACTATTTATCTTTCTCCACTTTCGTCAGTAAAATGGGCGCTGCAAAATTTTTTTTTAATTTTTTTTTAAAGAGGCATGTATTTTTATTTATTTATTATTTGTTTGTTTGTTTATTTATACATGCACTGGGTACAGTCAGAAACGCGGGAGGGTGAGAGAATTCACCAGAGCCAGAGCGGGGAGCAGAGCAGGCAGAAGGACCGAAGTACACTGCTGAGGGGAGCAGCGGGCGGCAGGAGAGGTCTGCGCGCCATGTGGGACCCTCCTCTGGTGGCCGGGGAGCAGCCGGGGATCGAATCGGCGCCGCAGAGGCTGCGAGCAGCTTCGCAACCCAGCGCTCAACCGCTGTGCCACCGGGGAGGCCCCAAACCTCTTTTTTTTAATGACAAATAATGAAATTCCACATCTTGTGTAAAAACACAAATCTTCATCATTAACAAATGGAGTCTCAGGAAGAGATGGAGATAATATTCTTCTCTGTTCTGCAGCTACAAAGAATGACATTTTCCTCTATGCTATAATCTAGTTCATATAATCTTGTTTGACAGTTCATTAAACTAAAAACATTCACAGGACAACCTTGTTTAACTGCACCAAATGAGAAGTGTGTTAATAGTCTGAATTGTAACAACTCATTCTGTTTTCTCTTAAATCTATTCTTGGAAGTATAATTTGGGAAGGGGGATCCTGCAATTCTCTGAAGATATTAGAATCTGTTGCACCACATATAAAAATAACCTTCAATAGGATTATGCTCAGTGCAGTAAGTTGCAAAGAAAAAGAAAAATCATCAGATGGTTTTACTTATAGGAGGAATACAGGGGAACCAAACAAGGGATCAGGAAAAAACCCAAAAACAAAACTAGCAGACAAAAGATAAATTGGAGCTATTCAGCAGGGGAGGGGAAGGTGAGGGATTCAGAACAGAGGAGAGAAGAGCATAAGAGACCATTGTGATGGTTCAAGGATGACTTGGTGGTGGGAATTCTATGGTGATTACACCTGAGAGGAACGACGATGTTAAAAAAAAAAACAAAAACCTTCAAGAACATCTATAGTTGTGATCAGCCATGTTAATAATTGTATTACAATTATATTAATGTCACAAGAGAAATATTATAAATGAAATTTCAGTATTCCTAAACAATATAAATTTTATTAAGACTGATATCCAAAATGTAATGGGATTACTGGCGTTTTCCTTCTCTCACATGTCACCAAAGAGGATATATAGACAGTAAATAAGCACATGAGCTGATGTTCAACATCATTAACCAATAGGGAAAAGCAAACCACAATAAACTATCACTAGCTCTCTTTCAGAATAGCTAAAATAAAATAGAGATACTTTAGGCTCTGGATAAAGACAAAATCAAAATACATTATATTATCAAAGACAATAGGAGGAAATGAATTCTTACTTTTGTTTCTGTTGATCCATCCAGAATTTACAGCTCTTCCTGACAAAGTCACAGCCCATGCCTCGGCCCCAGTCTAACTTCTCAGCCATGCTGTAATTAGCTTTATACCAGCTGTGGAAATAATTCAAAGAGCTTTTTATTACTGTCTTTTTAAAAAACAACCCAGCATAACCAATTACAAATCTCAACATGAGCACTAGGAGCTCAAAAAGGACTGTGGTGAGCACCTCCACAGATGAGAAGGCTGCCCAGGGACTGCTGCCTGGGATCACTGCCCTGGAGCAGTGGAAACTTCAGCCTCACAGTGAGGGTACTTCCATATTTGGAAAAAAAACCCAAAACCAACTTTTCCTGGTAAAGTTGAAAGATGACAGGATACAGAATCGAAACTAAGGTGTAAGTCAAGGGCCCAAAGCAGCAATAAGGCTCAAAGCAGCAGGAAGAAAATAAGAGAAAAAGAAAAGGAAGTAGGGCCTCCCTGGTGGCGCCGGGGTTAAGTCTCTGCACTATCAAGCTAGTGCCAGTCACTGCAGCATGAGTTCAATCCCTGGCCAGGGAGCTAACTAACCCATGTGGCACAGCAGACCTCTCCTGTCTTGTCCGCTGCTCCCCTCAGGAATGTATTTCAGTAGATCTGCCTGTTCTGCTCCCTACTCTGTCTCTGCTGAACCCTTTCATCCCCATCCCCTGCACCTCTGGCTCACACTCCAGTTCTTGTACACACAAATAAATAAAATAAATAAAGAGAGCAAGAAAAAGAAAAGGGAGCAAATGGAGTAGACTCAGGAGTAAATAGTGAAATGACTGATCAGCTAACCTATGCCTAATCTGATTCAGTGGCCCTACCTTTTTGCTTCTTAGTGATATTCCATCAATACAAGTTCTGCTTATGACTATATATTACTATCTTATAATAAGACAAATGAATATGATGTCCAATACTTACAAAAGTTCTAATAACAGGAAAAAAATTGATCTAGTCTCCTGACCATTTTAATCAAAGGTGAAATCCTACTTTTATTAGTTTTACTTTTTTATTCTAAATAGCAAGATCAGTTTACAAAAGTTATAAAAGTATACAAAAAGAGTTTCTTACCTGTTTGTGTTATATTGTCTCTTTAGCATAACAAAACAAGTAAAAACATAGGTTCAAAGCTAGAGGAGTGATAATATCATCCACTTAACTAGCCACCTTTTCACAAAATAAAAAAAAAAAAGAAACAAGTGATACAGCATTTTCCAAAAATCTCCCTTTTTAAAGAACAGAACTTTCTTACTCAGAAGTTCTGAAGAAAAGAATCTCAGCACTACAATGCCAAAACACTCCAACCGAGTTAATTAGCTGACTTGGTATCACAGCAGGTCAAGTAGTGCTGAGAGTAATAGGTTCCCTATCTTGGACACTGGAATAATTTTAGCAGTGTCTAGGTCAGGAAGTCCTTCTCCCTATGCATAAAATACAAAAAAATTAGATAGCATATCTAATATAGCTGTTGAGTCCAGGACATAGTATCAGACATAGTATCAGCACTGTGTCACTCAATCACCAGCAAGACATATAACCTACATTTGAGACATATAACCTACATTTCTTGAAATCTTGATAACTTTTCTTTGCAGCTCTTCCTGTACTATCAGTCAATATATAAACACTTATATATTAGGCACTTGATTTCTTAGCATATTAGAGGATTGTGAAATCAATTTAGTGGATCTTAACACATCTTTTAAAATCAGTAAAATAGAAAAAGAGGATTGCATTGTATGCAGCAAGGATAAAATTGTTTCATGAGACTTTGGTTCAGTTTTATTTATTAAAAAAAGGGAAAGATTAAAGTTTCCAAAGCAAGCACCCAAAGTTACCCATTCCCTTGTGCGTAAATGTTCAGCCGAACAGGGGTGGCTGAAAGCAGGGCCACTGAGGCCCAGAAGCCTGCCACAAGTCTAAAGTACCTTTCAGTGGGGACCCATAGAAAAATGTCAGAAACAGCTAGACAAGTCTGGGAGGAAAAGAGCAAAATCAAAATCAAGATCAACGCTGCCACTGTTAACCTCACCACGGGACACTATCAAGGAAATAAGGGCACTACACATCCCACAGCAGCATGCACTGTTGGTAGCAACAAACAGTGTCCAGGGCCTCCCTGGTGGTACAGCGGGTTGAGTGCCGCGCTGTGCAGCTGTCCGCAGCTTCTGCAGCGCCGGTTCGATTCCAGGCCGGCCAGGGAGATCCCCACATTGTGTGGCAGACCTCTCCTGCCTCGCCCACTGCTCCCCTCAACAGTGTCTTTGGTCCATCTGCCTGTTCTGCTCCTGTCTCTGGTGAATTCTCACCCTCCCATGACTCTGGCCTGTACCCCAGCTCTTGTATAAATGGATGAATCTTTAAAAACAAACAAACACACACACACACACACACACACACACACACAGTGTTCAGATTGTGGTCTCTCAAAACCATTCTCCCTTAAAGGAAGTGGTGCTGGGCCTCCCTGGTGGTGCAAAGGTCTCAGCACTATGAAACTATCAGGCCAGGGAGCTAACCCATCATGGCGCAGCAGACCTCTCCTGTCTCGCCCATTGCTCCCCTCAGCAGTATATTTCAGTCAGTCTGCCTTTTATGCTCTCCACTCTGTCTCTGATGAATCCTCTCACCACCTCCCTGCACCTCTGGCCTATACTGCAGCTCTTGCATGCATGCATAAATATAAATAAATCTTTAAAAAAAAAAAGGAAGTGGTGCTCCTTAAAAAATTGATGGAGGCCAAGATTTAGGATCTGCCTGGCACATCTTGCCACACAGAGGGCTCTGGAGCCAACAAGTAAAATAATACCTATTTGAGTGACTTACAGTTTTCCTACTGCTTTACCAGAAATTTCTACTGCTTTAAAAACCAGGAATATAAACATCACAACACATTTTTAATTAAAATTGATAGTAGCATGGTTTCTACTTATTAGAAAATAAATCTCATAATGCCAGGGATTTGGTCCTGTTTATTATATATCCCAGAGACCCAAACATTTATTATATAAATGAAGATGGTAAGGTAATGGATAAATGCACAAAATTCAAAGAATATATTTTACTTTAATATAAAGTGTCAGTATTTTCTTAAGTTAATATCCATTAAATCTTAATATTCATTTCATCTTAATAAACAATATAATCTCACAGCTATCTTACCCAGTGTCCTCCATTAATGCCAGAGTGATTCGAGAGAGGACTCGGTTCTGGGTGTGAGAGCCAGTCATTGCTTCATTCTGAAAATCACCAACAGATTTTAATTGTTAGACTGGACTAGTTGCAACTCCCAATAATTTGTTATTCTTTTGATGCATATTTAAAGTGTTTGAAGTGTGAAAACCTGGCAAAATAATTTATTTAAATATGGTAACTAGCAGAAAGTGAATCCAAGAAGGCATCAGAGGAAATTCCTTGCTTCCTTTCCCAGAGGATCATGTAGGTTAACCAGTGGGGTGTCCCATTGCTTGGGGAGAAACAAGAACAACTAACTCTTGGACATCAAAGATCAGGTAGATTGTGCCCAAATGAACACAGAGATACATACTTCAGTGAACAAGAGATTTATGATTTAAAGATTCTGAAATTGTCTATGTTGTGTGGTATATCTCAGCTAAATAGAGTATTCAATTAACTAGAACATTCATTCCCTTTCATTATAAACAAGTTTTTCTATTAGAGTAGCAACTGCTGTATCTTTTATTTGTATGTCATTAAAATTCACAAATGTTAAAAAAAATGATGAACAAACTAAGCCTCTTTTTTTAAAACGATAAGACATTAAAGTGAAATGTATTTTCTGCCTCAAATGTATACATTTACACAATTCTCTACTGAAACGGTAAAAAACTGACATTTAGAACTCTGTTGAAAATGAAGATACATATATAGGGAAACAAAAATTTTTATAAAGTATTACACCCTCTAGACAATACAAATTTGAGTAGCTGAGACAAATGGCCAGGTAATTCTGAGGGGAGCGAGACAGGTAATACTAAAGCCATTTGTATAAGAGGAATGGTGAGGAGCAACCTCCAAGCCAGTTGATAGCACTCCTAACCAACTCAGTGGTAGAAGGTGGAGTTTTCCTGACCCCACCCCTGACTAGGGGTTGATAAAAAACAGGAGTGGAGCGGAGATCTTGGCAGTTCAACTGCTAGGGCTTTTGGGTAGTTAAAACGCCGTTAAGGCTATTGGCAGTTAAATCACTAGAGCTTTGGCAGCTAAGCCGCTCGTGAGAAGAGGTATCTATGGGGAAGCCACCAACTTGCCACATGGTCTCTGCTCAGCAGACACTAATGCAGGATAGATGGCATCTGACCAAGTGCCATTCTATTCTGTGTCTCTCTCACTCAGTTTTCACTTTTCTTACTCATAATGTAAATAAATCTCCAAGTGTCTGCTTTTGGGTTGTGTTCTACATTCTTAAGTGCAGTTAAGGAGCCACCAGCTGGGTCAATCTGCTTCCCCTGGGTTTGTTGTTTCAATACTAGACTGAATTAAATAGAAAATGCTCTCATACACCTTGGTAACCACAGAAATATATACTAATTATACAAAACAAGTATGATAGAAACATAAGATTAAATAATTTGGATAAAGGGACTAAAATACCACCAAAGTCTACTATCTACCCCATTTTTAAATTCATCACATAAAATTCCTACCAGGAGGTTACCTAATTTTCTGCCTTTTAAGGAAGCACAGTCCGTGTTTGGGCAGCTCTAATTATTCTTCAAATCTTTATGCTGAACAATGGATGGTCATCTCAAGTACCTTAATGCCATCTTTTAAAAAAAAAATTGTTCCAGGACATAGAGTTGTTATCAGAGGAAGGAGGATTCAATGAAATTGCTGGAGGTAAGAAAAATAAAAAATACAACTCCCAGTGTCAGTGGGTGATGTTCCAGACTCCACCCCCTGATATATTATGCTGGGCCTGATGGGAGATAGGTGTGGGGCTGGTGCAGGCAACTGAACTGCTTGTGAGGTGGGGTGTCAGTAGAGAAGCCACCATCTGGTAATGTGTGGCTTCAGCCTGGATCCTGGTCTCTGCTTAGTGGAGGATATCTGGTAGCACAGATAGCATCTGACCATGTGCCAGTCAATATTTTTTTTCCTTTTTTCCTCCCTCTCCATTCTCTCTTTACTTCACTCGCTGTATATAAAAAAAAAAACTTTTTTGTTTCTCTCCACATGTCTGCTTTTAGACTGTGTCCTCCATAATTAAGTGTGTATACCCTTTGATCCAGAATTCTACTTCTGGGCATTTACCTTTTCTCTTTCTGTGTAAGCAAATATCACCACCATAAGTTACCTTTCTAGTTCTGTTCCCCTGGAAGCCTAATAAAGATGTCAACCATTGTTACCAGGTAACAGTACTTAAGGAAAAAAAGACCTCCTGATGTGACTCTTGACTTGAAATTACTGTAAATGAACATGTTCACCTGTTGCTAAGTCACAGTTTGAAACTACTCGGTGTGCAGTGACTCTTTTGGGTATATCCTTACAGGAATATGGAAATTATACATATGGACCTGTCTAAAAAAAGGTATTTGATCACATTTGGGACATGGTATTTCTCAGCCAGGTTGATTCTTGCACCCATCTGTTGTGGTCTTGAACTCCTGTATAGCAGCTAGAGAGAGAGGGTAAGAGGCACACATGAGAGGTTAAGGAAAGCACAAGGGGAATAGCTGTCTCTGCCTGCTGCACTTTTCTTTCTGGTATCTTTCTAAGTGTAAGCTAATTTAATGTGGCCTTATTTGGGTGTGATGAGTTTGACTGCTTAATTGAAGCTAAGAACACCCACTCGAACACCACTTTTGGAAACCACTGCAGATATCAGGGCCTCCTCGGTGGCGCAGCAGTTGAGCGCTGGGCTGAGAAGCTACCCACAGCCTCTGCAGCGCTGGTTCGATCCCCGGCTGCCGACGAGGGTCCCACATGGCACACAGACCTCTCCTGCCGCACCCGCTGCTCCCCTCAGCAGTGTATTTCGTCAGTCTGCCTGTTCTGTCCCCTGCTCTGGCTCTGGTGAATTCTCTCACCTTCCCACGCTCTGACTGTACCCAGTGCTTGTATAAATAAATAAATAAATCTTTAAAAAAAAGAAAGATGAATTTTTTCATCATAATATTTTTTAAATAGGGCCTCCCCGGTGGCGCAGCGGTTGAGCGCTGGGTTGTGAAGCTGCCCACAGCCTCTGCAGCGCCGGTTCGATCCCCGGCTGCTCCCAGGTCACCGGAGGAGGGTCCCGCATGGCTCGCAGACCTCTCCTGCTGCCCGCTGCTCCCCTCAGCAGTGTACCTCAGTCCTTCTGCCTGCTCTGCTCCCCGCTCTGGCTCTGGTGAATTCTCTCACCCTCCCGTGCTTCTGACTGTACCCAGTGCTTGTATAAATCAATCAATCAATCAATCAATCTTGTATAAATAAATAAATAAATCTTTAAAAAATATATATATTTTTTAAATAAAAAATTAAGACATAGCTACTCATTAATACAGGGCTGTTAAGTTACAACCAAATAATACTATGCAGCTGTTAGAAAACTAGCAGATCTAAATATAAACAGTCAGGCTCCCAGGGGGTGCAGAGGGTTGAACACTGCACTATGAAGTAATCCGCAGCATCTGCAGCATGAGTTTGATCTCTGGTGGGCCAGGGAGAAACCACATGGTGAGGCAGACCTCTCCTGTCTTGCCCGCTGCTCCCCTCAGCAGTGTATTTCAGTCAGTGTGCCTGTTCTGTTCCCCACTCTGTCTGGTGAATCCTCTCACCCCCCCCCCACATCTCTGGCCTGTACCCAAGCTCTTGTATGCATAAATAAATCTTTAAAAAAACAAACAAACAAAAAAATATAACGTCTTTTCTGCCAAAGTGCATGTTTTTGTAATATAAATGAGCTCATGTGAGAGACTGGTAAATAAAGAAATGACATCAGTATAATGTGAAATTAAATTTGTTCAGAATGATTTTCCCCTGAATTTTAATAATTTGTGTAATGGATCATAATTGCTAACTATAAAGTACAGTAAGACAGTTAAGTACATTAAAGAGAAGAATGCTAATCACACGATGCCAATTCACTCCATGTTTTCCCCATTAGTTCAGGACAGTAAGTGGAAGTGCTTATTGCATGGTTCTCTCTAATCTTTGTATATTTCACTCTCATTCTTTATGCAGATTTACATATTCCTCTCCAGCCGCCAATGTTTTTTGTTGTTGCTTAGGGTAAAGAAATACTAAATATAGCAGTTTTTTTATTGAATAACATTTTAAACTGAACTTGTACTTTGTTACTTATTGGTTTTGTTAGTGCGCTGGTATTTATTTTTCCCACACAATTTTAAAGAAAGATTTTTCAGAAGAACACATACTGCATACCATTACTGCCTTGGAAAGATGTCAAAGATACATCGTTAAGTGAAAAAGTGTATGAAAGTATGAACCCATTAAAAAACAAACCAATAACTGACATTATAGCAACACAGGTTTGAACTGCATGGGTCAATTATACATGGATTTCTTATAACAGATGACATAAACTTTTGGTATCGATAAATGCTGTAAATGTAGTATGTCTTATGATATTTTTATATCATTTTCTATTTTCCAGTTTATTGTAAGAATACAGTATAAAAGCCTCATAACATACAAAATGTGTGTTAATCAACCATATCAATGGTTGGGTTTTTAAACCTAATAGCAACAGGCTATTAGTAATCAAATTTTGGGGCAGTCAAAAGTTATGTGTGGATTTTCAACTCTAGGCTGAGTGTTACACCTAGCTCCCACAGTATTAAATGTATTTTGCCATATATACATATTCTAATATATATACCATTTCTGGAAGGTTATATAAAAATTAAAAATAGTGGTTACATTTCAGAAGTGGAGCTAGATAATTGAAATGAGATTTTTTTAACTTTTTACTTTATAACATATTATTGCATTGAAAAACTTTTATGAGTAAGAATTGCTTTTATCAAAGAAAAATTATGTTCAGGTGGGGCCTCCCTGGTGGCACAAGGGTTTAAGCGTCAGCACTATGAAGCTATCAGCAGCCACTGCAATAGGAGTTCAATCCCAGGCCAGGGAGCTGACCCACATGGTGTAGCAAGACCTCTCCTGTCTCACCCACTGCTCCCCTCAGCAGTGTATTTCAGTAGATCTGTCTGTTCTGCTTCTCACTCTGTCTGTGGTAAATCCTCTCACTCCCCGCACCTCTGGCCTACACTCCAGCTCTTGTATGCATAAATAAATCTTCTAAAAAAAAGAAAAATTGGGCCTCCCCGGTGGCGCAGCGGTTGAGCGCTGGGTTGCTAAGCTGCCTGCAGCCTCTGCAGCGCCGGTTCAATTCCCGCTCCCCGGCCACCGGAGGAGGGTCCCACATGGCGCGCAGACCTCTCCTGCCGCCCGCTGCTCCCCTCAGCAGTGTACTTCGGTCCTTCTGCCTGCTCTGCTCCCCGCTCTGGCTCTGGTGAATTCTCTCACCCTCCCGCGCTTCCGACTGTACCCAGTGCTTGTGTGAATAAATAAATAAATAAATAAATCTTAAAAAAAAAAAAAAAAAAAAAAAGAAAAGAAAAATTATGTTCAATAAAATTTTAAAATAAACTCACCTCTAATAACCGCTTTTCCCAGTGGTTGAGTTCAGTGCCCATACCACCTTGATTTTCAAGTTCCATTCCCTCCAGAATTGGGCAGTTAAAGTGTTTTCGGGCTTCATCCTAAAAATGACAAAAAAATATAAACCCAGGGCCTCCCCGGTGGCGCAGCAGTTGAGTGCTGGGCTGAGAAGCTGCCCGCAGTCTCTGCAGCACCGATTTGATCCCTGGCCACCGGCGAGGGTCCCACATGGCACGACAGACCTTTCCTGCCTCGCCCGCTGCTCCCCTCAGCAGTGTACTTCGTCAGTCTGCCTGTTCTGCTCCCAACTCTGGCTCTGATGAACCCTCTCACCCTCCTGCACTTCCGACTGTACCCAGTGCTTGTGTAAATAAATAAATAAATAAATATATAAACCCAACAAAAGTACAATAAGACAACAGCAAACTTTTTATCACACTGAATATATTATAATAAAGTAGACATTAAAGAATTATTTTGGTGAGAAAAGAGAAAATTCCTAAGTGTTAAATATAACTAAAATATTTTGAAGCCGTCACACTCTTCTTTGATTGTAAATTAATATTTCACTTATTTTTTTTTTTCCTGCTCTGAAAATTTGACTTTAAGTCACATATAATTCAAAAAAGTTATGGATTAATATGATTGTACTTTGTAAATTTCATGTCAATAATTTTAAGTCAGTTATAAAATGTCCTTATTATGGATATAGATTTTTGTAAGAAAAAAATTGTTTATTAGAATGAAATTTTGCTCATTTGATTTTATCTATTTTTCCAGTAGATGTCTAGGGATGGGAAATATCCCAAGAGCAATGCAAAAATTCAGAAAGCAGAGAGAGCTGTGTGTTATCAGGGAATGGGGAGAGCAGAACAGGTTTCTGTCATTAAATAAATGTCAAATAAGTAAGGTATTGAAAGAAACCCTGTGATAGTTAATTTTATGTGTCAATTTGGCTGGGCCACAATGGCCAGATATCTGGTCAAATTTTATTCTGGATGTTTTCTTGAGGACTTTCTTGGATGAGAGTAACGTCCCTGTGTTACTTTAAATAAGTGGACTTTGGTCCTCCTTGGTGGCACTGGGGGTAAAGTCTCAGCACTGTCAAGCTATTGTCAGCCACTGTGGCACGAGTTTAATCCCTGTCCAGGGAGCTGACCCACATGGCACATTAGACCTCTCCTGTCTTGCCCACTGCTCCCCTTAGCAGTGTATTTCAGCAGATCTGCCTTTTCTGGTCCCCACTCTGTCTCTGGTAAATCCTCTTATCCGCCACACCCCACTCCCCTCACCTCTGGCCTATACCCTAGTTCTTGTGTACATAAATAAATCTTTTAAATATATCTTTAAAAAAAGATTATTTTTAAAAAAGTTTATTTAAATCTTTTTTAAAAAACAAGAAAGGACAATAATGAAGGAAAAGAGCAAATGGTTTATGAGACATGAAGAGATTCAGCAACACTTACCACAACACGAGGTGTTACTAGGAGGTACACAGTGTGAGGCACTATTTTATTATTTCGAACATTCCATACTCTTTCTACCTTTCGAACTACTTTATCACTCCACTGATATAATCCAAGACTGCAATTAAAGAATAAAAAGTCATTTTTACTAATTCACCACCGCTTTAAATGTAAAAGTATTTATAATACAAATATTGAAATAAAAATATTTGATTTTATTATTTACTAAGTCCACCCAAAGAACTTGATAGTATGTTTTCATTTAATATTTTCAACAACTTTATAAGATTATCATCGATATTCTGCAGATGAAGAAAAACAGAGATGAAGTAATTTGTTCAAGTTCATATAGCTTATTACTAGGCCAAACTAAGAATGAATTACTTCCTTTTAACAAATTTACTGCATAAAACAAAAGCAAGTCCAGAGACATATCCAACTATATAAGGAAATTTAATAAAAAAGATAACATTTTCTTTTTTTTAAGACTTATTCATTTATTTATATAAGCACTGGGTATAGTCAAAAGCATTGGAGGGTGAGAGAATTCACCAGAGCCAGAGCGGGGAGCAGAGCATGCAGAGCGATGAAATACACTGCTGAGGGGAGCAGCGGGCGCGGCAGGAGAGGTCTGTCATGCCATGTGGGACCCTCGCTGGTGGCCAGGGATCGAACCGGCACTGCAGAGCCTACGGGCAGCTTCACAGCCCAGCGCTCAACTGCTGCACCACCAGGGGAGGCCCAAAAAGATAACATTTTCATTTAGTGGAAAACATAAGTTACTTAATGATTGTGCCATGAAACTGATTATCCATGTAGGAAATAAAAATTAAACCTCTATTTCATTCCATCTACAAAAATAAATGCCATACAGAGGTTAACAAAAAAGGCAGAGTAAGGATCTCTGAAAAGTCTCTGCCTCATTGAAAGCAATGAGAAAAGTAGCAAAATTGGTTAAATCAATTTTTTCAGAACTCTGGAAATTAACCAAAGGCTGGCAGCAATCCAGGAAACATTTAGTTAGGAAATATGGGTGAATCTCAGCAAGAACAGCAAGCTTTATGGCATTTTTCTATGCCATCTCTCCCAGATCTGTGACAGTCTTGAAAACCAACAGCCCACAATGCTGGAAAAACCAGAGGGCATAATGGATTGCAGAATGCATTTAAAAAATATATGATCCAATTACATATCCACAAAAAAGACACAGATCAGACTCAAGGACACACATAGGTTGAATGTAGTAAATTGATTAAAATGATATGCTATGCAAAGAATATTAAAAAGAGCTGGATGGCTATGCTATAACCAGACAAAATAGACCTTAAGACAATAATTGGTACTAATGACAGACCAACATTTTATATTGAAGAGTAATTCCAAGAATATATAACAATTATAAACACAAATGTTTTACTAAAGAACTCCAAAATACATGAAGCAAAAATAAATTCTGAATGGTTTAGTTGTCTATGAAACTAAAAATATCAAATAATTCACTAGAAGAAATTCAGGATAATATTTTTATAATCTTTGGAGGGTAGGAACGTTCTTAAACAATAAAGGAAAAATAGATTAATAATATGAAATTTAAAAATATTTCTATATGGGGCCTCCCTTGTGGTGCAAGGGGTTAAGCACAACACTATGGAGCAATCTGCTGCCTCTGCCAGCAACTCATATGGCACAGCAGACTTCTCCTGCCTTGCCCACTGCTACCCTCAGCAGTATATTTCAGTCAGTCTACCCGTTCTGTTCCCCACTCTGTCTCTGGTGAATCCTCTCACCCCCTGCACCTCTGGCCTGTTACCCCAGCTCTTGTATGCATGAATAAATAAATCTTAAAAAAAAAATTTCTATATGGCAAAAATATAATCAATGAAATAAAAAGATAACTAAAAGAGAAAATATTTTCAATAAACATGAAAAAGAATATTCTTTATTTATAAAGATCTCTTACAAAGTGAATAGAGGGAAAAAATAACCTCAACAATAGACAAATAAAACAAATAGCATAAAAAGAAAATACATGTGATTAAAACCTTACTAGTAGTATTGAAAATACAATGAATTACCATCTTTTACCCATTAGATTGGCCTAAAGAGAATTTACAATATCCAGTATTGGTAAAGTGATACAAAATCACTCATAGATCTTTGGAGAACAGTTTTAAATTCTCTCTATAACCTAAATAATTTTCTCTGATTTTTCTCCAGGTAATCCTATCATTAACCCTATGTAACTCTCATTTTCACCAACAAAATATAAAGAGATCCTACAATTATTTAGTGAAAATTTTAAACATACAAAATGCTGACAGAATTATACAATGAACTTCTATATACCAATATTCATCACTAAGATGCTACTGTTCTATCATATATTTGTTTATCTACCCAAGCTTTAGAGAGGGTATTTTTAATTCTTTTCATCTTTTTTCCATTGCAAATGAATGTTTAAATGTAATAGTAAACAGGGCCTCCCCTGTTGGCGCAGCAGTTGAGCGCTGGACTGTGAAGCTGCCCGCAGCCTTGGCAGTGCCGGTTCGATCCCCGGCCACCGACGAGGGTCCCACATGGCACGACACACCTCTCCTGCCGAGCCCACTGCTCCCCTCAGCAGTGGATTCTGTCAATCTGCCTGTTCTGTCCCCTGCTCTGGCTCCCTCCCTCACTTCTGACTGTACCCAGTGCTTGTATAAATAAATAAATAAATAAATAAATAAATCTTTTCTTTTTTTTAATGTAATAGTGAACAAAGTCAACAAAAAAATAAATAGCTGTACCTTATTAAACACTCCAGTATCTCCTCACTACTCATACTTCACACTTCAAAATTAACCATTACTCTAAGTAATTACATTAGGGCTAAGTCCAACTCTGTGAGTCTAATAACTGAATTTCTTATACCCCTAAGATCACCAATTATATTGTGAGATTTCCTACTATGGATGAATACCCTCAATGTAAGAAAGTAGAACAATATATCAGCTTTACCAATGGTTCTTGTATCTGGGTATATCTTTCCTCTTTATCTACATCACTATGTAGATGATGCCTATATCACTATAAGTTTTTCCACAAAGACCATAATTGTTAGGAAATGCCAGACTTCTCCCACACCACCAAACATAATCTAGTAATGAAAACATCTATTTCTACATTAGAATTTCATTTTTTCACACATACTCTAAAAGATATGATGAAAAAGTATTATCTGCTTTAATAATGATTTAATTCTAGCTATTTTAATAGAGATCTTTGTAACTAAATAAAATACACATAAAGTAAACAAGTCTTAAGTGTAAGGATTGACTAACTTTATTCTATATCCTTAAAAACTACTCTGATAGGAAAGCGCAGAACCCTGCTCCCCTCCCCCGCCCACAGAGTCGGAGAGCGGCAGAGAGGAGGAAAACAACAAACTAAAACGACCAACAAGAACAAACGACGCAGCAAGCGGGACTGTGAGTGGAAAGGAACTATTGCAGCCACCACACCCCGTGAACGGGAGCTGAGGCGAACCCTGCAGGATTCGCCGCGGCGGTGAGCGAACGGCTCCGGGCGCCATTAGAGAAGAACAAAGACCCCGGGAGACGCGCACACAGCCCGGGCTGCCGGTGAGCTTGCGCGGGAAAGCGGCGCGCTTGGCGCACTTGAAAAGCAAATGCAGACCAGGATCGCAGCTGCCCAGGTCCCCGCGCCTGCGACCTAGGCTTGCGGGGAGACGCGCGGAGGTCCTCACTGAGGTGAAGGTCCCTCCCTGAGTGAGCAGGAACCAGGCGCCCAGGCACGGGAGCGGTGCAAAAGGCGCCATTCCCGCGCCACTGAACTGGGCTACAGCCCACGTCCTGGACATGAGGGCTTTGAACTGAGACCCGGGGCACGAAAATTCGGGGCGTGGGTTCTCCACGACGGTGGGGCACAAGGCAGACACAGCACCCCAAAGCTGTTGAGGTTTACCCTACCATTCCCGCTCTGTTCCCTGTCCCACGGGGTGGGGGGGTCGAAAAACAGCCCCCCAAGGACAATAGGAGAGATCTCTGGCGCCACCTAGCGACCAGGAAAAAAAAGTCACTAACACCCCATAGAACAGGAAATTTCTTAAGACTGCTTGAAAAGGGCAGAAGGCTTCTGGAGGACCCAGTGGCCAGCCGGGAAGTTAGCCCACCCCACGCCAGGCCCCTTCCGACCAGCAGTCTGAGCCCACAGAGGGAGCAGGCACCCACGTCCGGGGCAGACCGGGGGCGCAGAAGAGTGTGCCTGAAACCGGAGGCGCAGGGACTGCATCCCGCTTTGCCATTTTAGAACAGGGACATTTCTTCAGTAAAAACTGCCTAAAACCAGCAGAAAGCTCCCCCAGAAGACAGAGATGGCACCTGGAAGAGCCAGAGGGGAGCGGAGAAGTTCACCCAAGATGCCAGTCAGTCCGAGCAACACAGTATCCCAACGCATACGACAAATTAGAAAACAGACAGTAGGGAGTAGAAGAACCACACGCAACCTAACAACTCCTCAGGAAAGAAGCACACCACAAAAAGAAAACCACTCCCCAGATTGCAACGACAGCAACTTGGAAGAACTTCTGAGCCTTCCAGAAAGAGAATTTAAAATTGCCATGATTGGGCCTCCCCGGTGGCGCAGCGGTTGAGCACTGGGTTGCGAAGCTGCCCGCGGCCTCTGCGACGCCGGTTCGATCCCCGGCTGCTCCCCGGCCACCGGAGGAGGATCCCACATGGTGCGCAGACCTCTCCTGCCGCCCGCTGATCCCCTCAGCAGTGTACTTCGGTCCTTCTGCCTGCTCTGCTCCCCGCTCTGGCTCTGGTGAATTCTCTCACCCTCCCGTGCTTCTGACTGTACCCAGTGCATGTATAAACAAAAAACAAACAAACAAATATAATAAATAAATAAATAAATAAATAAAAATTGCCATGATTAAAAAAGTGATAGATCAGAAGAAGGAAATAGAGTCCCTAAAGAGGGAAGTAAAAGAAATGCAGGAGATCAAAGAATTAATGGAGGAACTAAAGAACTCTGGGAAAAGCAATGAAAGCAGAATAGATGAAATGGAAGAACAAATAAGTACTCTTGAAGACACAGAAATAAAAAGAACCAAAA